ACACAAACACACACACACACACACACACACACAAACACACACACATACACACACATACACACACACACACACACACACACACACAAGCACGTGTATGCTTTCACACGCTCGGCCAAACTAACCGCGATTTGACTTTCGGTTGCCACCAAATCCATGTCAAAAGGCGCCATAACCGGAAGCTTGCCTGTCAGCGGAAACGTCTGCTGGCTGTATCCTGAGACCATCAGCTGATCGTCCCGCACACTCAGCCAAAAGCTTAACGCGTTTCCGGAGTTCTTGTCTTGTCCGCGAAGCAGCTTCAAATCAAACCTGTATAGACAATAATTTTAAACAGTAAAAATATAATATTTTGATAATAATGCTTCTGCAATATCAACGTTTTCCAATTTGATGCTTAACAAACTATAAGTATAAGGTACCGGTATAACATATTCAGCCATAAAAGTATGAATCTTTGAAAAATCATTTTCTAAAAAAAATATGCGTCATGGAATTAAAACCTCGTCATCCAAAGGATGCGACTTGAAGATGTGTGCAACTTGCTCGCTTCTCCCTTGGCTTTAATATTTCATTCTAATTCGTGAAAGCTCTACGATTTGTTGCCGTAATATTTTGATTGCTGCGCTCCAACTGGTTCTATCATGAGCTAGGCTCTCCCATGTCAAGTATACATAGTGCTTATAGTATATGTACGACGAGGGGGAGAAAGAAGAAGAAGAAGAAGAAGAAGAAGAAGAAGAAGAAGAAGAAGAAGAAGAAGAAGAAGAAGAAGAAGAAGAAGAAGAAGAAGAAGAAGAAGAAGAAGAAGAAGAAGAAGAAGAGGAAGAAGAAGAAGAAGAAGAAGAAGAAGAAGAAGAAGAAGAAGAAGAAGAAGAAGAAGAAGAAGAAGAAGAAGAAGAAGAAGAAGAAGAAGAAGAAGAAGAAGAAGAAACGAACAAACAAACGTACATTTTTACCTGTCATCAGCGGTGGTCAAAAACCCGATAATTGTGATGACGTCATTTTCATCCATGCCAGATGGAATGCGCTTGAAAAAGTCAGGTGGCTGAGAGGAAAATAATGTATGCATTCGTAAACAAACTCCCAAACACACACACACACACACACACACACACACACACACACACACACACACACACACACACACACACACACATGCACACAAACAAACATAGCACAATAGTATTTATATTACAAATATACTATTCATACGACTTTTTATCATATCATATCGCATCACATCCTATTCTATTCTAGTTGACAATGCTCACACGTTAATAGACAGACTGAAATGATTTGGTTAAACAGGCGACTTGGCAGTTTACGGTTGACTGGTTGGTGAGATGTTTAGTTGGTTGGTTGGTTGGTTGGTAGATTGATTGATTGAATGGTTGACTGGATGGACGGTTGGTTGATTGATTGATTGGTTGGCTGGTTGGTGAGATGTTTGGTTGGTTGATTGGTTAGTTGGTTTGCTGGCTGGCTGGTTGGTTGGTTGGTTGGATGTTTGGATGGTTGGTTGGATGATTGATTAGTTGGTTGGTTGGTTGGCTAGCTGGTTGGCTGGCTGGTTGGCTGACTGGTTGGTTGGTTGGTTGTTTCCACTTACCATTGGAGACAACAACTGGACATCTACAAGATTCACAGCGCCACACACAGACACAAACTCCAGCTCTTCCATCGGGACGCGGTGAGTGTAAGAGTAGGTATGTTTGTCCACCGTGATCTGAAAAAAAAATGACGTGATCAAATATAGCTCTTTTACTACATTATGTAGGCTACTCTCTGGACCAGAAGGTGGTCACGGAACGTTACAAGGTATTTACCAAGAGAAAAAAATAGAGGCTCCCACCTGGAAATTCTTGCCAACTGCTTTGATAACGGTCAAATTTTCAGCTAGTTATCAATGTATTTTTTAAAGTTGTTTCTGCTGAGGGAAAAAAAGAGGCTAGAAAGCCACCAATAAACGTTCCCCCCCC